ATGAATGTAGAAAGCATATGGTCCAAATCACATTTAGGAGGAGCGGCCTGCTTCTACTAAGTCCCAGTAGCTTACACACTTATGGGAAAAATCATCAAAGAAATTGGAAAGGGAAGGGGGAGGATTACAAGTAAATGTAACCTCACTAGACTAGATCCATTGGTGCTCTCCTCTGGATGGTGTGTTCTCAAACCGCAATTAACTGAGTAGAATTGTGGCAGATAATCGTGGAAGAGGGAAAAATAATGTGCGTTTGTGGGTGTTTCTCGGCACACACAATCGCTGAGTGTGTGTATATGTAAAAGCTCAGGATGAAGGTGCACTTGCTGAGAAAGTGATACTCCAGATCTGGGAGTCCTGGTCGGTGCTCCTCATCCCAACTAATACTTAATCAAAAAGACAGTTTCCGATTGTCCCGGATGTATAACGCTTCAGGAAATTCTCTGCTGGATTCTCATGGAAGGGGAGGTCAGGTTTCCTATTTTACTGTTTTCATCACGATCACGGTGATGTCAGTGCAGGCAGACACTGGAAGCCTGAGCGTGAGGAACCACTGTGAAAGCAGGAAAACTTGCCCCCTCTCCCTGTGCGTGAACTTAACTACTCAGCTCTCACCCGGTCGGCTTCTCGACCTCACTCTTCGGCCAGCTTCAAATTGAAAGGACTTGGGGGAATGTCTAGCCAGGGGGTGGGGCATCCAGCAATCAATTTCTTTAGATGACAATAGTGTCCTGGTTCTCCCTCAGTTGGTTGGGGACAGACTCATGCAAACCCCCCATGAGATCCCCGAAGCCGCCCTCCGGGGTGAGGGGTGGAGAGCAGAGGCCACTGGGGGTCGGGGAGACGACTGAATCCGCATCGAGCGGCCCAGGACACCACTGAACACGGGGGATGGTCCTGGACTGTTGTCCCCACATAATTTTGGTAGGGGAAGAGACGGGTCGCAGTCTGAGGCCTGCTCCTGATCCCCAGGTGCCGAGGCCTTTGGGGACAAACAGGGAGAGCAGACGGCCTGTGACCTCACTGGCCCTAAGCCGACCGGGCAAGAGCAGCCAGGTCCTTCATGTTCTCGAACTCTCGAAGCCAGCAGCGGCTCACGTCTAGGAGCCAGCGCTCTCCAGCCCTTGCGGATTCCTCAGACCCAACCTGGATACAAGACAGCGCCAGCCTTTTGTGGGGTTGAGGTGTCGCTACAGCACGGCTTCATCTGAGGGCCCACAGCCGCGACCTCAGCCCCGCGCTTTCGAAGGAACTGGAAAAGCGCGCGCCTGGGGCCCTCCCCGCTGGGCCGCGGTTCCTGGAGGCCTTGGGCGCAGCCCTCGTCCAGCTCCAGCCTCGCTCCCCTGTCGGTAGCGCCCGCAACACACCCGACGCCGAGGGGTAGAAGGGCGTGAGTCCGGCGGGGGGCGTCGGCCACTTCCCCACACCATCTTGGAAGGGAGGGAGACGGGTCGCAGACCCGGTCCACCCTAAATGCAAAGGAAAAAAACACGTCTCCACCAACGGAAAATGAGCAGCGCTGATGTTAAGTCTTAAGATAATCGTTACCCTGCGACTTTAAAACACAAGCGCTGAAAAAATAATTTTAGGTAATTTGAGCAACATTCAAGGGACAAGGAAAGTTTCTTTTCCCCAGAGCGTTTGCTCTCAGGGCTCTGGGGCACTTCTTCCTCGGGACAAGCCCCTTTTCCAGAAAACCTCACCAGCCTCCCGCCTCCTCCCTTGCCGTCCCCGAACAAAGCCCAGCCGCAGGGAAAGCAAGCGGATGTGCGCGCTTCTGGGAAAGCGTTCGGCTTCAGGGGCCCGAGAGTAATGAAGGGAAACGGCCGGCGCTGCCGGCACCCCAGGAACAGTGGGGTCGAACTTAGCCTGGAGGCCAGGCCGAGGCGCCCAGCGGCGACGCGGGAACTAAGAGTAGGGAAGTGCCCCACCCGGCCGAAAGTAGGCCCGGACCCTCTCCTCACTTTCCTGGCCCAGGAGCCTCAAGGGCGGGGCAACTTCCGGAGTGCTCGGGGCCCCGCCCCCCGACACGCCCCGCTTTCCCCTCCCACCCCGGCCTCGCGGGCCGCGGCTTTCAACTGTGGAAAAGTTAGTTTGCTGGTTATTTGCACCGGGGCGGGGACCTGGGGGAGCGGCGAGGGGGAGGAACTTAAACAGGTGGTGGAGTAGAGGCGGGTCCGCGCTTCCGAGGGCAGGCGGGCGGGGGAGGGGCAAGGGGGCGACATTTAAAGGTGAGAATCGCGAGCTGTTGGCGGTGCCCAGCTTCAAAGTCGCAGGGCCTCTAAGGCTGCGGATTTAAGGCCTCGTCCGCGTGTGCGCGGAGGGCGAAGGGAGAGCCAGCGCCCCACGCCAGTTTCCCGGACAAAATTCCCAGAGGGGCAGCGGCGCGCGGGCAGACAGCCACGACCCTAACCCGCCCGGCGGACAGGGCCTAGCGGGGGAAGCCAAGGAATATCCTCTACTCCTCCACAGGCTGCCCTTACAGTTTCTCTGTAAAGCGCGACAAAGCGTTCTCAAAAGCGCCATTAATGCGACTCGGTGCAAAGCGTCAAAATGCGGTGCGATACACGTATACGTAGGAAACCGGTTCAGCATTAAAGTTCAAGTGGAGCGGAGGAGGCTGCATTTTTAAATTATTTATTTTTTGAGACGGAGTCTCACTTTGTCGCCCAGGCTTGAGTGCAGTGGCACGATGTCGACTCACTGCAACCTCCGCTTCCCGGGTTCAGATGATTCTTGTGCCTCAGCCTCCCGAGTAGCTGGGATTACGGGCGTGCACCACTACGCCTGGCTAATTTTTGTATTTTCGGTAGGCGCGGTTTCACCATTTTGACCAGGCTGGTCTCGAACTCCTGACTTCAAGTGATCCGCCCTTCTCAGCCTCCCAAGGTGTTGGGATTACAGGCGTGAGTCACTGGCGACCGGCCGGGGGCTGCTTTTTTATGTGTGGGCGGGAGTCTTGTTTTCGCGAGAATCGAGGGAAACCGCAGTGCAGGCCAGGTGGGTCTGACTCCCACCCCTGTCCCCGATTGCGGTCTCTGAGCGTGGTTAACGGAGGGAGCCCCAGCTGTAGGTATGACGGTGGTTGTGGCAGCAAGAAGATGAGTGTCACCTAGGGCGTCCTGGGCCCCAACTCAGTGGCGCAGGGTCTGCAAGACACGAGGTAGAATATGAGCCAAGGGCCCTGGGGCGGCGGCGCGAACCCGGCAGGCCTGCTTGTTAAGGTGGGTTGTCGGTCCGAGGGTCAAGTGCGCTGGAAGCGGGGAGGGGTCACCGGCGCCCTCAGCCATTGCGGCAGTTGGAAGCGGCCTGGGGGAAAGCGTGTGCTCCCTTTGCTTCTAGCCCCTCGTGGAGTAGCGGCCGCTCATCAAGAGTTCAGGAGAATTAGGCCTGGCGCTCCTGCCACGGTTTACCCACACCGTAGCAGTCAAACATCTGCAAAACTTGTCAAGGCTATCTGGGCAATCCGCACAGTGCGCCGGACGATCACACGACGCCTGCCACGCCCACACTTGTACACACGCGTTCTGTGCACTCTTAACACTGCACACACCATGGATCCCCCCCGCGGAAGGGGGCAGAGCTTTGGAAACTGACACCCCCTCGAATGTGTTTATTAAAATACGGTTAAAATCCAGCCGTCAAGATGCACTGTCTGTGCTCTACCTTGTGTTTAGAATTGGACATTCATAACGCAGTCCCCCTAGGCCAGACCTTGGGCCTGTCTTGCACTCTCCTGGGTCAAGACTAACCACCCGAGGAAACCTGAGCGTCCCTCCAACCCACTACGCGTGGGAGGAAGGCTCCAGACCCCGCTTTTCTGGGGCTATTGCACAAAGGCCAGAAGCCGGGTCTTCCGGTCAGCTTGAGACCCTGCGTGGCCAGCGGAGGTCCAGGGCCCACCCCTCCCGCTGGGAGTGGCCGTTCCAGACGACCCCGTGAGGCCGCTCGGATGCAGCAGCAAACTCGGCGTTAGGCGAGGCAGGTGGGCTTAAGGGCCTTTTCAAAAAGGGGGATGGCTGACCATTGGACAGGCCTAGTTCCCAGGGTGCAAGCGGCCAGGATGCGCATTGCCTGCGCGACCCACGCCAGCTCCGCCGAGCCAAACCTGGCTCTCGGGGCTCACCAGAAGCCCAAAAGGTGCTCAGTCAAGGCTGAGAGCGCGCTGGCAGCCTACCTGGGCCTTGCCTAACTTTCCAGAAATGCAGGGGCACTGAAGGGGGCAGTGCTGAGAGGGGCACTTTCCCACTGAGGAGGCGGGCGGAGCTTCTCCAACCACCCCGCGGGTCACAATTAGTGTGTTGGGTTATCTGCGGAATGGCGGGAGCTGCAAAACTCTGGGGATCCTCAAAAGCCAGACTTAAAGAAATAGAGGGGGCAGTGGGCAGGGGCCCACGAAGACGCAGGCGAGCTGAGCGCGGGATACTCATCTTCCAGGAGTCCACTAAGAACACCTTGGAGGTGACGACTCCGCGGCCCGGTTCCTTTCCCCGCGCGCCCGCAGCCTCCGCCGTAGCCGTCACAATAGCTACAGCTACAGCCGCCCGCCGAAGGGCACACGGCTGCAGTAGCAGCAGCCTGACAAGTGTGATAAAATGATCTTCCTTAACTAAACTCGTAAAGCACTGGGCAATAAAACTCAATCTTCTGTAAAATCCAATTAAGTCATTATCTGACTGATTGTATCTTTAATTGAAAACAGAAGTGACAGTAAATTTCTGTGATATATCAGGATCAATCGATACCGCTATACGATTCAGCCCCAAGAAGTGATTTATAATGTCAAACCTATATAGGTAACTCCACATTATTCTCTCTAAAACCACTGGTGGATGAAATTAAGAGTAAGTGCATTTAATAAAAAACAAGATGGTCAGGTTATTGATTACAACAGATGGGGGTGAAATCAAATAGATGTTTTCAAAGCACAGAGCGAAGAAAATACAAGTAATTTCTTTTTTCCTGTTTAATACCGCTCACCAAATATACACACAAGAAAATTCAGTCATCAATAACATTTTTATTTCAGGTACAGCTGCAACTAAGCAGAACAATGAATTTTTTTTAGACTACTTTCATTTCAGGATGGCTTCTGTTACATAACAAAGTACTGCATAGCAATTTTTAACAAAATAATGAACTCAAATCTGTAGTAACTTTTAAAGATGTACTTATTTCCAAATCAGATTACAACCTAAGGTTACAACAGTCTAAATTGCATCCATTTTTTTCCAGTAGTGGAAAGAATGTATGATGAACTAATTCTACACCACCACTCAGGAACGCTGCATCACTAAGGTCACTTTAAATTGCACTGTTTTCAAATTACACCCTTTACCAAAAACGCAGCAATTTTTTTTTTACAGGCTTTAATGTTTCTGATTGTATTTCAGTTACGTTTTGGATTGGAAGGATGGGGTGGGGCTATTTCCAACAGCAACACACACAATATATCCATTTAGCAGACTTCTTAAAAATCACTAATTTGACTGCTCTTTTTTTCTCACCCATCAGGTAACTTGGCTAAATTTATATCTTTGCAAGTTTTTAAAAAATACTTAAAAAAAAAAAAACCCTAAGGCACCTAAGATTTCATTTTAAAACTAAAAGTAACATCTAATTATGACTCATTTAGAGGCACACAAATGGCTTCACTTGAATGAATTATCTTATTTCTTGAAAACTACATGAAACCAGTGTCATTTAAAAAATGAACACTATTATTTAAACTCTGTGAGCAAAACACTGAAATCGTGCAGATGGTAGTCACAGACCCTAAAGTATTACAAATGTGTTACAGCCTCTGGACTAAACTCTAAGGAATATAAACCAAACACGTTCTCAACAGTTAAGATAGTATGAGTCAATGCAAAATATTAACAAACCCCATGGAAAGTGGAATAAGCCTGTTATTCCAAGTGAACCGCCATCGGCAGCAGGCACTGCTCACTCGTCCTCCTCGATGACAGGAGTGACTGTGAAGCTGCTGGGCTCCGACACAGGCTCACATTCGAGCACTGCCTTTGTGCTCTCGTTACTAATAGGAGAGCTGCTGGAGAGGGAAACCAAGCCAGAATCTTGACTGCTGGGCGGCGAGAATACTGGGAAGTGAGGGGAGAGAGAAAGGGAGAAGAGTACGTTAAAAAAAGTGGCTGGTCTTTATACATTCAGTATTCAATTAGGTTACAACAAAGAAAGTGGCGCTCTCCATTTCTATTCTGAGTTGAAAGTGTTTTTATAGACACTCATTAAAACCCCTAGCATTTCTTTAGAATAAAAAAAATAGTATTCTACACAGTATACCTATTTAACGAAAGGAGTAAGCTAGATAGCAGAGTTCCACTTTAACGTTCATTAAAAAAAACAAAACAAGTCGGCTGCATCCTCTTTGGGAAACTATTTCCACCCTTCACCGGACTCCTCCCCTTTATGCAAAGGATGCTGATGAAACTTGTCAAGTGATCCATCTGACAAATTACCCCAAGCAAGACTCCACCCATGCATTTCCACCATGACAGGTAACCCACCCTACTTTTCCAAGATACAGCAGATGAAGTTGATAGGCTATTAACTTTCCTATTATTCCTCATGGCATAACAGGACAAAGACGGGGGGAAGGGGATGTCAGCACAGATAACTTTTAAAAAGTAAAAGGCAGTAAATGGGAGAGAAAATTTTTAGAAACACAAAAAAGTAAATAAATTACATCACACTAAAATAGAAGTCAGATACAAATTGTGAAAGCAAATCTATGAACATAAAACTCTACTGGAAAACGCACATTAAATATGAAGGATGCAAAAGTAATAATGTGTTAAGCAACTTTTGCAACCTTAGCAGCCACAGTAGATAAAAAACTTAAGCAAAAGGGTCTCTGACCTTCTTAACCTTAGCTGAGTTTAGATCCACCCCCAGAACTCCCTTCCTGCCTAGTGTGAATGTAATTAAGGGGAAGCTGCAGTGGTAATTTCTCTCCTCATTAACTTCCTGATTGGTTTCAGCCTCAGGATTCTGCCGGGCAGTAGTTTGTCACCAATTCCAAATGGCCAATCGTTAATACTAATGTTTGTGTAACTAACTGCCAGCATCTGCCACGGCTTCTTGTACAACAATAATGGTGAAAGGGTACATTAGTGCTCCTGTGTTAATTCAGCTTGTGTTCATCAATAGGGAAATCTATGATGTAATTAGCAAAATGCATTGGGAGCTGAGTGCTGAAGTCATTTGTAGGGAACTAAATCATAGTAGAAGCTGTACTGGGTCCTGATGTGTTTGCCATCAATACTTATTATGTTTGGAATTTAATAAGGTATATTACCATGCTGAAAAGAGACCTTTTTACAACTGAACACTATTTACGCTTGTTATGGGTTTGGAAAAGGTTTGCTGCAGCTAGTGGAACCACACAGAAATAAAAGAACAGAGCTGCGATTTAAGAAGCAGACCCTTAACCACTCCACTGGACCAAATTATTTCAGAAAGCCTCCTTCTTCCAGTGTGACATATGGGGTAGACAGATAGACAAATGGATAGTTTTGTACCTCAATATCCAATAAGGAAAGAGATGATCTGAAAATTCAGTAAGTGAATAAATTTGAAAAACAATTTAGGCAATTTTCCTGACAAGCAGTTACTTTTTATATTGATAGATTTGTTTAGTCTTTAATAATTTAAATAAAAAGCAAAGGGTAAGTTTCTAAGCTTTAAAAGATAGGAAAATAATTTTTTTTAATTTAAAGGGAGTCATTAAGTAGTATTTTAGAACAAAAAAGCATGCATATGCATATATAAATATATTATAGCAACCAAAACTAGGAACCTAGGAAATCTGAAGCCTTCATCTTATTAAAGTTCATAAAAGTATCTTACTTAATTTGTATTGTTATATGCATTTAAATTCCCTGCAAATCCAAGGTGATTCATTAATTGTATACATGCACCTGGCTGTCATACATATATATACAGAGAAATGTTTTCCAAAGGCAGTAGACTGCTTTGAGATCTCTCCAGTTACTATACAGATCTGGAGAGCCGACTAAGAGCTTCCTGGAGAGTCCGTGAGTTAATGTCCCCATCCCCCACCCCAACCAGTGACAGAAGTTTCTCTGTATAGAAGCTATGGGGAATAACAGTAAACATTGCTGACTACTACCTGGATGCCACACACATACTTCAGTGAGGTATTTCACTCTCAAACCATTCACTGAGAGAATTACTCTCCCTGTTTAACATAGGGATCCTGTGCAAGCTGTCAAGGGCAGCGCTGTACCAGTTAGTCTGACTCTGGCATGCGCTGGCCCCTGCACCAACCTTCTCCTGGGCACACATTTCGGAACTGGCCGCTGAACCTTCCCAATCCCTGGTGTGAGTTTAAGGAGGCAAAGCAACGGACCTTTGCCAAGCTGATGCACAGGCTGTAAAGGAATAGGTATGTGTTCTCCCAACATGTTCAGAGCCCTGGGCCTGTTTCCAGTTAGCCGCTGACTGGGAGACGCTCTCTCCTCATTTAGCCAACTTGGGACTAAAAGGGAGGAGTGGAAATTTTGCAAAAGAAAGGAATTTGACAATATCCCCCTTTTGCTCTAACCTGCCTTATGAATATTTTCTTAGAAAATATTCTTGCGAGTGGGGCCACAAAGCATGCAGAATGTTACCTGCATGGACTAGGGGGGGTCCAAGCATACTTTTAAAGCATGACTGCACTCTAGAGAACATGTAAAACTCACCCTGTTTTGAAAAACAGCTGTATTTTTACAGTGTTTCTCCACTCAAAATTTAAACCCATGTTATTTTTATGTTTGTTCAAGGCTTAGCATTGTTTTGAAAAAATAGGCTGTTGAAGTTAGAGACAGTATCTGTTTACCTCATTTTTGTAGAGCACCTCATAGAGTTCTAAGTATAGGAAAAGATTTAGTGTGTTTTTCCTTAGTGACTAATGTCCAAAATCACTTTTACTACCATCCTTAAAGATCGTCCCTCAAAGGTACCTTCTCCATTTTAATGCAGTTTCCTTAAACCTTTGGAAGGAGAAGGATAATAGTTGACTATTGTAAATTATTTTATACCAATTAAAAATTCAAAAATCAAAATGATGCTTTTCGCTCTTTGATTCTAAGGGGCCCTACACAAGGCTAATTTCAACTCAAAAGTCTTGTCTTAGTTCATTTTGTAAAAATGCTAACTCCTAGCGTCACAGTGGCACTGTGGGGGAACAGATAGTATTGGTAGCACTAGAAATTGGTTCAATCTTTCTGGACAGCAATCTAGTGACATGTAATAAGAACCATAAAGCTGTTCAGCCCCTCTGACCTGGTAATTCCACTCTGGGGAATAACCCCAAAGAAAGAAAGAATAATTGACCCTGAGATGCTCAACACACCATCAGTGAAGATGTTAGTGACTAGCAATGCTCTTGTGCTTGGGGAAGGGAGGTGGGGCCAGCTGCACTGGGGTTGGGGGCAGGAAGCATTCACAGGCAATAAACAATTAAGGATTATACTACCCTATAATCATTGATAGCCTCCCAGCATTTACAGAAATGGAAGAAATTACTTCTGCACACCACAGCAGAGACTGAAAAGGAAAGAAAAGAAAAAAAGGAAAACTTGCCAATCTGATATTTTGTCGTGTAATGAAAGGTGGGTAAACCTCCAAGGCTGACCCTTGTCTGAACCAGCAAATCTAGTATCTGTTTTCTCTCAAGAAGCCTATTTGTCTACAGAAGCTACTGGGATGTTCTTTTATTATGATTTAAAAATAAACAGAAAACCTTACACAGGATCATTCTTACCAATGAGGGGAAAAAACACTTCAAGATGATTTTGATGCCATCTAACCACGAGTATTCTTTTTGAAAAATATTTATACTGTCAAAAAAGAAAACCTGCTTTAAAACAAAACAAAACAAAACACTAAGCGCTAAATCTTTTGACATTGCAAAGACCCCTGACTTTTAACTTGAATGATCTGTTGGAAGTCAATGGACTGGAACGAGTAATTCTCTTCCAGTGATGTGAGAAAACAGGATATTCATGCTTTAAAAACATTTTTCCTTCCTCTATATGTTAAATACTATTAAACTCCTAAGAAACCATTTTAAAATAAAATACAAGTGGCATTTTTCAGTTGTTAGCAACTCTTCATCTAGATGCTGACTGCCAAGGCAGACAAAATTGCTGGCCTCTTCAGTTTCCTAGAGTTTGTAGGCATAAGAAAGAATCTGATGAAAAGCTGATGAAAATTTCTTAAACAACAAATTCTTCCACTTCATGACAATCATAGTGTTTGGAAATAAAATCATGTGCAATCAATACCACTTAGCATATATTTAATGTTTCACAATAGAACTCTTTTCCAGAGTAGAACTGCTGCCCTTCTCACTAACATTTAAAATAATTAGGATTATCTTAGCTGTCTGAAGCTTGGCAGGTTCAGTTTGTACTTTCAAATAGCATTAATTCTTGGCACTCAGAACAAGGGATAAAAGGTAAAGATATGAATGGAGATCTTTATTCCACCTGATCTATCATGGATTAGCTCATTCTTTTCCAGTTCATGCCTGCACTCTAGTTAAGAAGAAGGCTGAGCTGTAACTGATGTAATTAGAAACCACAAGCTGAGAAAAAAATAGCCCTTTGGTAATCTCCTCCATTTACCATAAATTTACTAAAAAAAAGTAATGATCTTTGAAACAAATGTGTTTTTCCCCCAAGTGCAATTAAAGAGTAGTGATGAGAGAGTGGAGTATAGGATTGTGTTTTCCGTAACACCATATCTTAGTTATCAGCTTTAAAATCGAATATCGGTTTTGAAGGGGGCTAGCTCTGCACTTTGCATACTGTAGAGAGAACTGGCCAATCACTGTGAATGAAAGATCCTATAGATGGAATCAGGTAAATTATCAGTGCTTCCTCTTTGATACAACTATCACAACCTTTGCAAGCACTGGGAAATAGCATACTTTAAAAACTAGGTGAGCTTAACAGAAAAGTACATATTAATGCAACATTACCTCTTTCCCTCTAAATTTCATGTAAAACATAAGGTACACACAATTCACAAAATAATAATAGAACAATTTTTTAACTCTCAAAAGGAACAG